AAGGACACTGACTTAGACTGCTGGAAGGCTATTCTTTTGCAGCAGGGGTCCCAATGCTGGATTTGGCTTTCCCCAATTACTGTAGTATTTCAGTTAAGGCCCACCAGCTCATTTGGGGGAAGTGTTGTCAGGTGAGTAACCCTGCTCCCGGTGGGGAGTAATTATAGCTGACTCCATCCCACCCCACCCTCTGGGTTCATAGGGACACTTTCCATGAGCCAGCCCTGCTCTGTGGCCTTAAAAAATCATAAAATTCCTTAAAATCCGGGCACTTTGGAAACAGCAAAGTCTCGTGGTCTCATCTGTACACAGACCAACCCTGGTACAGCATGTGAGAAAAACTAGCCAGTGTGTGAGAAACAGGAGGTGGCACCACCAGGGAAGACATCTGTAATACAACAATAAAGATTTTAAAAAATACTGTATGCCTGGCCAATGTGGCCCCCTGGTTGAGTGTCAACCTATGAACCAGGAAATCAGGGTTCAATTCCCAGTTGGGGCACATGCCAGGTTTTTGGGCTCCATGGCCAGGTTTGTGGGCTCCATGGCCAGGTTTGTGGGCTCCATGGCCAGGTTTGTGGGCTCCATGGCCAGGTTTGTGGGCTCCATGGCCAGGTTTGTGGGCTCCATGGCCAGGTTTGTGGGCTCCATGGCCAGGTTTGTGGGCTCCATGGCCAGGTTTGTGGGCTCCATGGCCAGGTTTGTGGGCTCCATGGCCAGGTTTGTGGGCTCCATGGCCAGGTTTGTGGGCTCCATGGCCAGGTTTGTGGGCTCCATGGCCAGGTTTGTGGGCTCCATGGCCAGGTTTGTGGGCTCCATGGCCAGGTTTGTGGGCTCCATGGCCAGTAGTGGGTGTGCAGAAGGCAGCCAATCAATGATTCTCTCTCATCATTGATGTTTCTCTCTCCCTCTCTTTTCCTCTCTGAAATCTATCTATATATATATTTTAAATACTGTAATATAAAGAAAAAATGAAAGCAAAGTAGTTATAAACTAAATGCATTCTGGAATAAGACTAGAGCCACAATGAATTACCAGATGTTTGCACCTGAATTATTTATTCTGCAACAGCTGTTGGTGTAGTGCAGTTAATTTGCATATCTCGCTGATTAGCCAATGGGAAGGGCAGCAGTCGTACGCCAATTACCATGTTTCTCTTTTATCAGATAAGGATGATTGCCAGGAATGAGTCCAAGAGGAATGACAAATACATAAGTGCTCTGGCCATTGAGACTCGAGTTCTCTCTGAAAGGACACTGACTTAGACTGCTGGAAGGCTATTCTTTTGCAGCAGGGGTCCCAATGCTGGATTTGGCTTTCCCCAATTACTGTAGTATTTCAGTTAAGGCCCACCAGCTCATTTGGGGGAAGTGTTGTCAGGTGAGTAACCCTGCTCCCGGTGGGGAGTAATTATAGCTGACTCCATCCCACCCCACCCTCTGGGTTCATAGGGACACTTTCCATGAGCCAGCCCTGCTCTGTGGCCTTAAAAAATCATAAAATTCCTTAAAATCCGGGCACTTTGGAAACAGCAAAGTCTCGTGGTCTCATCTGTACACAGACCAACCCTGGTACAGCATGTGAGAAAAACTAGCCAGTGTGTGAGAAACAGGAGGTGGCACCACCAGGGAAGACATCTGTAATACAACAATAAAGATTTTAAAAAATACTGTATGCCTGGCCAATGTGGCCCCCTGGTTGAGTGTCAACCTATGAACCAGGAAATCAGGGTTCAATTCCCAGTTGGGGCACATGCCAGGTTTTTGGGCTCCATGGCCAGGTTTGTGG